TACTTTATTGAAACCATTGATACTTATATGATTTAGAAAGATTTTATGTAAATTGGGCTGAATGTCATGTTTGGGCTTTGCGTTAATGCTGTTTGGACCCTTAGGGGCTGTTTTGTATCATCCTCTCACTGTTTTCGATTGAAAAATCTATACTCAGTTATGTTTATACTTGTTTACTGCATAACTCATTTTTATGACTTTGTTTTGATGCATATAAATGTTTTGGGCCGAATGCCCTATTTTACTGAAATGCCCGAGTGGCTTGATTTGTGAGGATGAGTGTGCATTGGGGCTGCCCGCCTGCAGCATACTTGTGACTGAGTGAGGCCGAGGGCCTGATTGGTGAGGATGAGTGTGGATCGGGGCTGCCCGCCTGCAGCATACTTTATTATTATCGCACGTGAGTTGTCCGTGCAGATTATAGCGCTTGGGCTGAAGGAGCCCCTCCGGAGTCTGTACACACCCCCAGTGAGTGTAGGTACCTACTGAGTGCGAGTGCCGAGTGCTGAGTGCTGAGTGGCTGGGAGGCAAGAGTGATTGTGAGGTATGCCCGATTGGCAAGAGTGATTGTGAGGTATGCCCGAGTGGAAAGAGTAATTGTAAGGTATGCCCGAGTGGCACGAGTGACTGTGAGGTCTGCCCGAGTGGTTGTTTATGATTTTATCATTTTTGCTCACTTTTGCATTGAGCCTTTGTTTGAAAAACTATTGGAAAATAAAAATGATTTTTATTGGAACTGGTTTTAAACGAGATATTTGATTCAAATCCTGATTTTTAAGAGCATGTGGTATTTTACTGAGATTTCCTGATATGAACGTTATATGCTTCATTGCTCGTCACTACTGCTCAGTCTTTATTTATTGTTGTTACTTACTGAGTTGGCGTACTCACGTTACTCCCTATACCTTGTGTGCAGATCCAGGTGTGGCTGGACACGGTAGCAGTTATTGAGTGTTCTGGTTGCAGATTCTTTTGGAGATAGTAAGGTAGCTATTTGGCGATCGCAGCCCCTGCTATTCTCCCTCTTATCTTCCTCTAGTAGTATTTAGCTATTTTTCCAGGCTGAGTTAGACTTGATATTGTTCGACAGATTATAGTAGATGCTCATGACTAGTGACACCCCGATGTCGGGCTTTTCTTTTTCGCACTTCTATTTTTCTTTGATTTGAACTCTTTAAATGGAGGTTTTTATGTTAAATAACCTTGAAATTATCTTTGAAATGAAAATATCATTTTGTTTTGGAAATGAGTCGGCTTGCCTAGTTCCACGATAGGCGCCATCACGACAAGGGGTTAGTTTTGGGTCGTGACAGATTGGTATCAGAGCCTATGTTACATAGGTCTCACGAGTCGTGAGCGGGTTTAGTAGAGTCTTGCGGATCGTTACGGAGACGTCTGTACTTATCCTCAAGAGGCTGCAGAACCTTTAGAAAACTCCATATTCTTGAATTCTTGTCGTGCGAATCTGTTGATTCTAGTAACTAAACATCTGTTGTTTCATTCTCTCACAGATGGCAAGGACTCGTGCTACCGGTCAGGAGGGCCAGCTACCAGTACCACCAGCCAGGGCCGCGAGAGGCCGAGGCCGCGGTAGAGGCCGTGGTAGGGGCAGAGGTGCAGCCCGTACAACAGTTAGTGCAGTACCTACAGATCCACCGATTGTCCTAGATCAGGACCAAGTTCCAGTTGTTGATGCACCAGCTCAGGCACCACATGCGCCTATTGTGATTCCAGACCTTCAGGAGGCCTTAGCTCAGATTCTGACAGCGTGTACTGGCCTTGCTCAGGCGGTCTCTATTTCGACGGCCGCAACCACTTCTCAGGCCAGGGGAGGCACTCAGACTCCCATCGCTTGCACACCCGAGCAGGTTATTCAGGGACTTCAGACACCAGAGGCACCACCAGCTCATCCGATTGCTGTTGCTTAGGATTATATGTTTCCTGCTATGCTTGAGGATGATCAGCGTAGGTTGGAGAGGTTTGGGAGACTTCAGCCACCACCTTTTAGTGGCACAGAGAGAGAAGACGCTCAGGACTTTTTGGACAGGTGTCAGAGGATACTCCATACTGCTTGTATTTTGGAGACTTGTGGGGTCTCGTTCACTACCTTTTAGTTTTCTGGGCCTGCACTCAGATGGTGGGATACTTACGAGAGGCGTAGGCCTGTTGGCGCAACACCCCTTACTTGGCAGCAGTTCTCCGTGGTAGTTTTGGAGAAGTTCGTGCCTCGATCCCGTAGAGAGGAGTTGCGTAGATAGTTTGAGCGGCTATGCCAGGGTGATATGTCTGTGCCGCAGTATGAGATGCGGTTCTCCGAGTTGGCCCGTCATGCTATCTAGTTGGTTCCCACGGAAAGAGAGAGGATCATGAGGTTTATTGATGGCCTCACTTATCAGCTATAGTTGCTCATGACCAGGGAGCGAGTTCGGGTGCTACCTTTGATGAGGTTGTCGACATTGCTCGGCAGATTGAGATGGTTCGCGGTCAGGAGAGGGTTGAGAGGGAGGCCAAGAGGCCTCGTGGTCAGGGTGGATTCAGCGGTGCTCACTTTTGGGGGTCAATTCCAGCACGGTAGGGGTCGTCATTTCATCGGGGTGCATCATCNTGACTGAAACTTATTTGTTATCATCATTATTTGGGTTGAACGCCATATTTGGGCTTTGTGCCAACTATTTGGACCCTTCGGGGATTTATATTACCATTTCCTTATTGTTTTGAATTATTACTTGAACTCAGTCCCGTTATTTTCCTCTGTTTTACTACTCAGCCATTTTTACTTAGTTTTGAGAATTAAATAATATTTTAAATGATGTTTTGGGCTGAGAAATATTATTTTACTATTGCCCGAGGGGCTTGTGATGATTTTGGACTGATTAAAGGCCGAGTGCCTAGTTGTGAGGATACACTGGTACTGATATGAGGCCGAGGACCTGAGATACATATATACGCCACGAAGTGGCTTGATTGATATGAGGCCGAGGGCCTAGATTTGATGCCACGAGATGGTTTGATATTGCGCTTGGACCATAAGGGGGCCCTCCCGGAGTCTGTACGCTCCAAGTGAGCGCGGGTACCCATTGTTATGTGAGATTGAGCCCGAGGGGCTGATATTGTTCTGAGATTGAGCCCGAGGGACCGGTACTGTTCTGAGATGTTGCCCGATGGGCGGATTTGTTGATACTGTGCCCGAGGGGCGAGCTTCTATTTGTTTACTTACCTGTCAATTACTTGTTTTACTTGTTGAAAGGGATTTACTTAACTCTTCGTTGTTTTACTATTTTAAAGTGATTTTACTGCTTCAGTATAGAATGCCTTGTGTTTTACGTGTTTTTTTATTTTCAGTTGTTATTTACATTTGTTACTCACTGATTTGGAGTACTCACTTTACTCCCTGCACCCTGTATGCAGATTCAGGCGTAGCTGGTACCACTCTTAAGTGTTGATTCCTCCAGTTCCAGACGGTTTTTCGGAGACTACGAAGTAGTTGTTGACGTCCGCAGCCCCGTGTCTCTACTTCTCTATCATTTCTGTTTCCTTTCAAAAACTTGTAGTAGTTTATGACTTTAGCAGACTAGTATTATGGTTTACAGTTGCTCGTGACTTGTGACACCCTGGTTAGGGCTGTGTCGAGTTGGACTTTCCGCATTGTTATCGATAATTCCGCTATTTAGTATTGTTTAAATCATGTTTAGACTATTTTTCATGTTGATTAACTGCTTTAAAAGTTAAGTTGGGTTGAACTGGTTGGCCTTGTCTTCACGAGAGGCGCCATCACGATCGGGTTCCGGATTAGGGTCGTGACAGTATAACAAGAAAAAAATTATTTTCTCTTGATATGTGCGTAAAGTGACAAGTAAAAATAATAATTTATTTTTAGTATAGGTGCCAAGTAAAAGTTAATGAGGTGAGTACTGCGCATATAGCTCTTCCACATTGTCTGATCCAAGAAAAATATATACCAACATATTTACATCAAAGTCAGAATGGTATGACTGAACATGAAGGGGGTTCCTTTTGGCAGGGGTGATGAATGGGGATTGAATATAGATGAAGGGACAATGCATTAAATTCTTGAACTCTTCTACAGATGCTGTTAATTTCTTGAAATAGAAAGTTCAATTTCCACTTACTAAAATAAGTTTCTATTTTATCCTAAGTTGATTTCTATCCTCTTAGCTAAAAGTCTCGGGTATAAAAGGTTTTTTTATTCAATAGTGCCCTTCTTAACACGATTCAGATAATCGAACTAATGCTTATTAGATACCGAATAGTTAAAAAAGTCGTCCAGTGCACCGGTCATTTCGTGTTCACGCAGGATCCAAAAAAATATCTTAGTCAAAGGGATGTGATGTAATAAGTCTATCCTAATACAAATATTAGTGGCTAGTTCCACGGTTCGAACCTATAACCCATAAATCGCACAGAGACATCTTTACAAGTTGCTCCACGACTCCTTTCAAGATATCGTTAAATATAAAAATAGAGTAACATTAATTACTTTATAATAATAAATACAACTCAATTTAGTTTCTGGGTCAAATTCTCAAATGAAAAGTTTCAAATTCCATTGCTTGGTTATTAGTAGTGGTAGCAAGATATGATTAATAATGTAGTGATCCCATGAATATTAAAGTACTAGCATACAGCAAACAATTAATACAATTCCAGCACATTAAAGGCCATTCATTCAATTCCTACATGTAGCAGACAGACACAAATTATTTGATTATTATGGCAATGTACTAAATGAGCAAAAAAAGTTAAATTATTTGGTAGGAAAGGAAAACCCCATTCAACATGCACATGGCTTTGTTCCCGCTAGACATAGACTTTGTCATAATAAAAATTCAATGAAATAAATATTCAGAAACATACAAATATGGATCAATAATTAAATAAAGAAATGAATTACATGATACATAGAATATGGTTAATTGATAAAAAAACAAATGAAATTCAATAAAAGGGTAAAACACACAACCACTATGACAGCCAAGACAAAGAACAACAAAGCAAACCATTAATTAAGTAATTAACAAGCCAAGACACAATAGAGGGTTTTTAAGTTTATTGCTTCTTGTCTATTACAAATGTCCAAATTAAAGATCACTTCTTTTAATTAAAAACTATATACTATAAAATAAAAATACAGACAAATGGAAACAACAATCACAAAAGCTGCTTCTTCAACATAATGTTTATAGCCTTCTATGGAGTTTTCAAACCCTGCGCTTGCATTTCTCCATAGCTCTTGGTGCTGAGATTTAAGTAAAATATAACTTAGGTTTAATGAAGAAATTAAAATGATTTTTTCAAACTCAATATAAAAATTTTAAAAGGAAAATACCAAGTCCAATAGCTTCTGATCCTTTCATTATGCGTAAACGCTTGCATGAATCAACAAACATCCTGAAATTTAAGAAATAATTAAAGAAGTTAATTGCAACGCTTTTGATATGATGGAAGTTATTTTTCAAAAAAATATTTTTTATGAAAAAATTATTTTCCAGCATTTGATTAGTGAAGAAAAAACATTTTCCATCAAGATTAGAAAACTTCCCTCGCCTATGGATATAAGTAATTTTGATAAATTTTTTAATTTTTAACATCATATTACGTGCTTCAAATTAACAATTAAATAGTAAGTATTACTCCATAATTTTTCTTTACTACTCAAAAGTGTCATCAAAATACTCTCCAATTTGCTAATATTGTTATTCTCTTTAATACACACTTTTTTAAAAATATTATTTTCACTCACCAATCAAATAACAAAAATATTTTCGGAAAAAAAATAACTTATGTCATACCAAACATACCTATAGTTCAGTTTTTTTGCGCAAAATAATAAATTGGTTGGTCAGCCGAAACTAATCGCATTCGCTAACCAAAAAATGTATAATATATATATATATATATATATATATTATCCTCATGGAATCGTGCATAATATTTGGCAAGCAGCCAGTGTATCTGAGGGTTTTTCCCTGATTTGAATTATGACAACCTCTTTGATGAAATCCATTATATCTATATATATTCTCCGGTTACGGAGGGAACTTGCTAGTTGAGAGCTTGAGTAAATTGTAAAGAGGAAAATTGTACTACGTATTTTATACTTGTTTGTTTCATATATTTACTCTGTCTCATATTCATTTACTTCTTTACTGTACCTGATATTATTAGACCACTAGTAAGTGTCGAAGTCGACCCCTCGTCACTACTTCTTCGGGGTTAGGCGGGATACTTACTGGATACACTTTGATTTACATACTCATACTACACTTGCTGCATATTTTTGTGCAAATGCATATATGACTAGCATCCTGGCGGGTGCAGAGGTGTGGTTAAATGCGGAGACTTAGGTGAGTTGTAGTCCCATCTACGATCTGCAGCCAGCAGAGTCCCCTTCAAAGTTACTCATGTATTTTCCTGTCTAATTTGTATTATGGACAGGTGTTGTATTTTATTTTATCTTCCTAGTTGATGATCATGCACTTGTGACACCGGGTTTTGGGGTGATTATGGGTTGTCTTTGTATTGAAATTGTTGAAAATATTATTATTTACTTTGTAAACTCCATCTTTTTCTATTTAATTGAAGGAAAATATGATTTCAAAAGTAACAAAATGAGAACCTAATTAAGTATTTATTGTTGGCTTGCCTGACGGTAGAGTCCGGCGCTATCACGACCTTTATGGATTTTGGGTTGTGACATATAACTTCACACGCTGAAGGAACTGATCATTGCAACAATCATGTTGATTCAACCATTACCAACCGAACCAACTTCTTCCAATTCACTCTTGACTTGCCTTAGAAATAATAGTAGCTCCATTTAAGAATCATAATGAAACTCACAACACTCCTCCCAAGTGACCCACTTCATGAGACCACATCGTCTCAATACCCATGAACCCTCTCATACCTTTCTCATGTGCACAATAGCATCTCTAACTGGTATACTTGTTCTGAAAGACCTTCCGTGAATCCGAAACTATTTCTCCCATTTTTTTCGAAACTGCCATGCAGACCCGATGATAACATAGAAAATTCCACATGTATTCTTCACACTCTACTGCAAAATCCTGGTCTCCAACCATATAACGAATCCCTTAGAACCACTGTTTAGAGTCACCCACTCTGACTTGGTCCCGAATATAAGCCAAACTCTAGTGCGTTGTTAGCACATGAACACTCCCAAAGAAGCAACCAGATGAATTATTTTCCTTGTACATCACATCTACAAGAAGCATAAACTTTGAGCCTCCCCAAAATCTGCGCATGAATCGGTAAGGCGAAATATAACACACATTCATCAAATCCTTTGCTGAATTACCCCTCGTATTTCCTTTTTTTAGTCATAAATAATCCACCAATGCACCGACAACCAGAAAATCGCACAAGCAGACAACCACGCGATCCAATCGTAGACGGTGGGCTCCCCCACTTAGCTTTAAGCTACTATCACATAATGTAGAGCCCATAACGATTCCTCTTTCTCGATTACTATGACCCTCTGTTGGGTAGTAAGTAGAACTCTTCGTAGAACCTCATCAAAAATCACGCAACCGCTAACCTATTCACAAGAGATAACCCAACTGTGGAATTCCATGCCGACATCTTCCAACAACACTACATTGGTACTACTATTACGAAGTTAGTAAACCCTCCTAAGACCGTGCTCATCCACCAGCTGTACAAGTCTGTTCATTCCCCATTGACCTCAAGTGGAAGTCCGACAATACATTCCAAACTCGAATCCATGTTGCATCCAAAAACGGTAATCAAGTTTTAACACCCATATTCATTTTAAGCCAACTCCTATTTTCCATACTTAATCTTCCTCAACATAGTATCACCATTCCAAATAAAATCTGTAGGCCTAGTAACTGTCCACCATAATTCCCAAATTGCTCTAAACTCCTCCCAAGGCATGTGGCTATCCTACCACAGAATCTATATGCTACTCTGCCACTCCCACTTCGGTTAAATCATCTCCTTTTAGAAACACCCCGACCTCTGTTTTTCATACTTATCCTGCTAGCAATTCAATCACCGCGAGACACCTTATACCATGTCCTTCCTCATCCTTCTCTACCCAAGGGTTGCATTAAATCAAAATTCATCTATGTAGCACCTGGATTAATAAATTGATGCCAACTCTAAGCCTCCTCGAAGATCGTCTCTCTCGATCCATCAACATTCGAAACACCGATTCGATTCTGAAACCTCTACACACCGCAATCTCTAACAACCGCTTCTTATACACTATTTCACCACACCCTGCCCCGAAGGCAAATCAAAGAAGGCCATAACACTGACGAATCTTAATGCGTTCAAACAAGGACGACGACACCGCATCTCAAATGAAAATTCCACCATGCTCAAAATTATCAAGTCTCATTACTTCATCAACCAAGGCTTGAACATACATAGTCCGATTGCCTTTCCTCCGCCGGAATTAAATGTCGAACTCCTAAATCATGCACCGAGAAATCCTCCTTTCGAGTCATTCACTAGCTCAACACATAGACAAACACCCTACCATTACACCAACACCGTGTGATAACAACGCATGAACATCATAGCAATATGTGCATAGCCTCAAACCATCAGAAATATAGATACTGAGTTGAAACAATAGAACATCCTTCCACAAGGAGACAATAATAGCTTGCCCGAATACGGAGGAAAAACATCCGGCACCACGTCTGCAGTACCACTACAACTCCTCGATGCTCAAGTGATAAGAAGCGCTTCACGTCGTATAAGATTGAGTAGGAAGGAAATAAAAGCATAAGCCTCAAAAGAATCAATTCGCACGATGAGGAATCAAGAAAAGAAGTGCTCCAAACAGTCCTGTAGCCTCTCGAAGATAAGTACAGATGTCTCTGTACCGATCCGCAAGACTCTACAAGACTTGCTCATGACTCGTGAGACCTAAGTGAACCTAACACTCTAATACCAAGCTGTCACGACCCAAAATTCATTATAGGTCGTGATGGCGCCTAACGCCGCCGTCAGTCAAGCCAACAATGAGTTATCAATTTAATTACTCATTATATTATTTTTCGAAATCATAAATTTTATTAGGAAGGAGATTTGCACTTCCAAATCCACGTGAACGCACAACATTTATAATTTGTAAAAGAAATGAAAGGCGATACTAATATACGAAACCGTAAGCATCAACTTGTATAACCCCAAACCCGGTGTCACAGGTGCATGAACAATTTTTCTAAGGAGTACAAAAATAATAAAATATTTGTCCAGAATATAAATAAGACAGGATAAAATAAATAGTATGATGGAGACTCAGTGGACTCCGATGCATAGCCTGGAATGCACCTCACATAAACTCCTCTCAACATGTGATCTTACGCACCAAGATGATCGCCAAATGAACTTATCAGATCCTACCCATTTAGTGCAGAAGTGCAGCATGAGTACATAAATCAACGCGTACCCATAAAGTATCTAGCCTAAACCCGGAGAAGTAGTGACGAGGGGTTAACATCGATACTTACTATAGGTCCAATGAAGCAATATAATAAATCATAGGCAGATATGAAGCACACAACAATAATGGGGTAAATCTGTAAGTTACATAATCTTCCAAATATTTCTTTTAAAGTACGAATTTCTCAATCTCATATTCTACCTCAACAACTCAGAAAATGTCAAGTGCCAATATCAATTAAATAAGAAATACCATATAAAATGCCGGGCATCAGTGGAAAGATTATCTCGTGAATATTCGGACTACCATCGATATAACGCACGATTCTGCCAAGGTCGTTCGGCCCGATCCAGAATAATATGTACACTACCGAGGGTTGAGTGGTACGAACCATAAATGCATCTATTATACTACCAAGGTGTTCGGCCCGCTCCACAATAAAGGAAGGAAGTTACCGAATTACGAGACACATGTTTACAATACAGTACATGAGCACAATAATAAATATACCCTTCTACATTTATCAAAATATCTTGGCAACAACTCAAGGTGATACTCAAGGACAGGATAGAGCAATATGGAGACTGTCTACTAATGGTTTTTTCTCTTGCTCAACCGCCTTTGATCTTCTAAGACAAAGAGGTGGACATCATCAAATGTGGAAGGACACTTGGATTAAACACATACCTTTCAAAATCTCACTCTCAATGTGGAGGATCTGGAAGAAAAAAATTCTAGTTGATGAAATTATCTTCAGATTTGGGCAACGTCTGGATTCTAAGTGTTCTTGTTGCAGACAGCCACAAGAAGAGACTATTGAACATGTTTTCAATACTAGTCCCAAAGCTAGAGTAGTATGGACTTTCTTCTCCAAAGATTTAGGTTTTTATTCAAATACCCAAAGCCTCTATATAAGCTCACATGGAAGAATCAGACAACCTCAAATTTTTATATCAGGACTTTGTATCACATAGCACCAGTTTACATCTGCTGGGAAATCTGGAAAGCTAG